GTTTACTAATTGATTAGTATACGAGTGTTTGTACTATGGTGCACATACAGTAGTTACATAAAGTACTGTCTAAACAGGAGGATGGGTTGCACTATATAAAAGAAATAGTTTGTTTCATAGAGCAAAAGTAATATCTTGGCATAAATGTTGAGGCAAGTTAAGACAATACACAGTTGGCATTGTTAAGAACATTACACAAGACTCTTATGCCTCATTGAGGGTTATCAAATGAGGATTTGGTCTCTCCTGCCAGTGTTTGAATCAACTCCTCGACAACATTCCCAGACAGAATTGCAACAAACATGTAGTTTGAAGACATTTCTTTTAGCTCTGCCAGGAAGAGATTTGTGTGCATTAAGTATATATATTTTGTGCTGTAAGTTTGTATACAATAGTGAATCATGTGTGCATAAATGCAGTTATCCAACACAAACACTACATTGTTTAAGCTGATAAGTTTAACACTGAACATTAAGATCCAAGGTGAAAGGAGGAGTGGCCATCCCAACATGAGTACGTGAGTGACCCTCGTGCATGTAGGAGCGCAGCGCTCACACACTCCCACCCACCTTCCTCCTACACCTCACAAAACCAGAAAAGATGTAAATATTTATTTCATGGTGGCAATTTCAATAATAGGTGCATTTTGAGGGTTAACATATGTAAGCATTTAACTTTATGACAAATTAAGATTAGTGCAGGTAAAGCTCATGAAACAAATGTTGATAAGCTTTGCTTTCTGTTGTATGCCACTCTCCCACTTTGAACTTTGTGCCTTAAAAAAGGTGTCATATTAATGGCACTTTGCTATCAGTACTGTCTTTAGCCAAATATTTGTCTTACACTACAATATATTACAATTATAGTAGCAAATAATATTATTTCTGATAAAAGTTTCTATTACTAGCCTTTAATGCAAGTGGAAGTATTTGGTAAATGGAGTGACTGATGTGATGGGGGCAGTTTTCTCTGGTTCTGTGAAGAGTGCAGTATTGACTAGTATTCCTTTGTATGTCTATAATACATTGAACCGTCTCTCTTCTGGGTGCAGCTCCTTGTAGTTTCCTGAAGCTATATGCTAAGATGGTTACCAATTACTGGGTCACATGAGCCCCAGAGTTCTAGAGGCCTACCAGGGGACCAGCACCCTATCCCCCTCCTCACAGAGGCACAGGGAGTGGTTGACCATTATATTTTCACCACCTCACCAGGTAAGGTAACCAGATAGTCAGTCAAAACAAACTTCTGCTGGATTCAAAAAGAGACCAAAGCCTCAAAACTGACCCAAGAAACACTCCTCAACTATGTAAAGAAAAGATGGATTTCTGTCAGAGCTAGTGCAAGCTTGTTTGCCCCACCTCCCTTACACATTTAGGGGGAGGTGTCCTAACGCCAACCTCTATCACCAAGCTCACTTCAATCTTTCTGCCTCTGTCATGCTGCCTCTTAGGCCAATAACACCTTTGACCCTGAGTCCTGGGTCAAAGGTATAAGGTATTGGAAGGTATTCCACCAATGTTCTTCTTTCCAGTGGCAGTACAAACTTTCATGGCACTCCTTTCACAAGTTTTTTACTCTATCATTGCTTTTTGGTTTCTGAGAGTGTAGTGCTTTCCTTTCAGTCTTTGCATTTTCTTGATTGGCATCTCATGCTGAATACTGACTGTTGCTTGGTATCGTGCAGTGCTGGTGGAGCCACTACAGCTTGTGATTAGTGTTGGCGCCATTTAGCAGGCTGTCTCGTTCCTTGCTTCACCTCTGCCCTGATCAGGTGTCACCTGAGCCAGCCTGGTCTTTGGACCGTATGCTTGCTTGCTTTCCTTTCCTTTTTCTCATATTATGTAGTGTTGTCCTTGTTCCGGAAGTCCTTTTCTACGGCTTTCTCTTTGGTTCCTCTTACCTCTGGTTGTTGAGTTGGGGAGCTTCATGCTCTCCTCCAGAGGTGGGGTTTTTGTTCCTTTGGCTCTGTTGGGTATTTTGTTCATTTAGAGCCGGCTCCTCCTTTTCTGGCATAGGAGTCGGTTGGCTTCCAGAGTGGTTCTTTAATCATTGACGCTTGGTTGGTTCAGCTGGAGGTGTATCGTGTGTTGTGTCCGATGACGGGTTTTGTCCACTACCTTTGTGCCACTGATTCTGCTTTGGTGGATGCCTTGCAAATTGATCCTCTTTCCTTGGTTCCCCTCTTCAAAAGTTTTAATTCCCAGATCATTTTTCTTGGCTGTGAGTCTCGTCTTCATACTGATTACTGCAAAGCTTCCACCTCCTCCCTGGTTAGTTCCTTGTTTTTTTTCTTCTCTGTGAGTAATTAGCTTCAGGAAGCCACAAGGGGATCCTCCCACTAAACCCACATGGAGTGTTATGAAATCCCAATTGCTGGATAAGCTGTGATTGCTCACTGATACATACCCTCCCTTCCAGGTTGTTGGGTGGATGCTGACATCTGCCCCAGAACTGAGCTTGGGAAGGGCTACCACCCCCCTCCCTTCCCCTCCCCCCCCAAACACGTCAAGAAGTAGGATGAACGAGCTCGTGCTAGTTCCGAGAGAATTTGATCGTCTGTTTACATAGTTGGAGAGTTCAGCCAATTGTGAGGCTTCTGTATCTTGTGAATTCAGCAGTACTGCAGTTTGTTTAGGCTCGCTGTCTTTCTGGTCGCCTTTCCCAGTGAGGTTGTGAAAATAAATGTCACAGCTCTCTGCGCCTCTATGAAGAGGCCAAGTTGTGGTTGCGGTAGACCTGTAGAACTCTATGGCTGATGTGACCCAGTAGAGGGTAACCATCTGAGCATATAGCTTGAGGAAGCAACCAGGGCTTCCCACAAATGTGGGTTACATTACATTCTACACTGGGTGTTTTATTACTCTGATATTGCATATTACCTCTATGCCATCATAACGAGAAACAAAATACTCTTCAGTAATAATAATGATGAAAATAGCCAAGTTAGTTAAGCCAAAAATAATGGCAATTCAAAACAAATCTTAGAAAGCTGTAGGCTGTGTTAAAACAATTTTTAAATTAACACTTTCGTGTACCCGGCATGCACACTCCAGTCTACCTCAATGTGCCCCAGGCGTTTTGCGTCAGTGCGTGGCCAAACTAAAATGTGTATACTCCTCAATTTTCTCAACTCAATTTTTGTGTTGCATCATTCATTTTGGTATCAACGTGTTTGCAATAGAATTCCCTACAGGGGTATATGTATATAGGGTCCAAAAGCCCAGTGCACCTTCCCCGCAGCAAAGCTGAAAGTCTGCCAAGTGTTACCTGTGAGCCAGCACCCATTGGCACACCTGCAACACTTGCACACAAATATTCATACTCTCTTCAGTTTTCTGACATCAATTTTCATGTTACATTGTTCATTTTGGTATCAAATTATTTGCAATAGAATTCTCTAAAGGGATATATGCATATAAGGTAAAAAAGCCTGGCGTGCCATCCCGCAGCAAACCCGAAAATCGGCAGAGCGTTACCCGTCAATTTTTGTGTTACATTGTTCATTTTGGTATCAATTTGTTCGCAATATATTTTTCTAAAGGGATATACAGTATGTATATAAGGTAAAAATAAACGGGCGCACTACTCACAGCAAACTAGAAAGCCTGCCGAGCATTATCCCGTGAGCAAGCATTAATCCGCACAACCTCACTAAAATGTGTGTACTCTGTTCAGTTTTCTCGCCTCAATTTTCATGCTACATCATTCATTCTGGTATCAAATGGTTTGCAATCTAAAGGTGCGCATTTTAAGACTAATCCCATAATGATCGGAAAACAAATAGATTTTTAACAAATATTTTATTTTTGGACGTCATGGCCGTCCTTGTCGCACATCCGCAGAGTTAATTGTGCACATCGTAGACATCCGGGGGGATGAAAGTGTTAAATAATTGTCGAAATTCCCCATAGCTTCCTCTCGAAATAAAGTTTATCAACTGTTTCAATGTCCCCATTCTCTAATAGATTTTATCGCGAAGCATATTTAATTTCCAACAGGATATGAACACACTTGTCCAATGAGGAAGGTCCTAGATGTCAAATATCTCCTCTTCTTTCCTGGTGAATATTAGATCCAGTATTGACGGAACATCCCCTTCCTTCATTCTTGTGGCCTGCTTGACGTGTTGATACACGAGTGTCTCCAGAATGAGGTTTACAAATCTGCCTGTCCAAATCTCTTTCGTTCTTGCTTTGTGGGCCTCCCAGTCTATTGCTTCAAAGTTGAAGTTCCCCAGTACCAACAATCATGACATCTCTATCTGCCTCACTACAATCTCTCTCTCATGACCATTATGAGGCCCTCTCAGTTGTCATCCAGTTCCTCCTTTGTTCATATGTTGCTTGCTGGTGGGCTGTAGGCATTTATGAGGTGTGTGTACTCGCCTAGTTGTGCTTGCTGGGGTTCAGCTTTGGCTCTTTGGTCCCATCTCTCAACCGTCAATCTACTGGTGTACAGATTCCTGAACTTCTCGAGCTCTATCACATCTACATTTGAAACTGTGTATGGAGTCAGCCTCCACTACATCACTTCCTAGTGCATTCCATTTACCAACTACTCTGACACTGAAAAAGTTCTTTATAACGTCCGTATGGCTCATTTGGGTACTCGGTTTCCACCTGTGTCCCCTTGTGCGTGTACCACCCGTGTTAAGTGTGTGTGATGCGTGTGTGTGTTGGTCAGCAGTCATGCAGTGTGATAATCCTAGCACATGGTGGGTTGTCCTGTAGTTTTTACAATTCTTCAAAATAACCATGTTATGGTTTCATATTTTTTTCATATTTTTTTTTTTTATACTAACTAATGGAAAAGATGATGAAAGTTAAGCTTTGTATTTAGGAGTTAATTCTTTACTAGCACTGACCGGGTGTTCCTGCAAAAGTAATTATGTTTATGGTAAAGGAGTTTACTAACAGTCTGACTGGGGAATGCCCATCAAAGCTATTTCCTGGTGCAGTCTCCTATTAACTGTGACCAGCAGCAGGCCAATCCTTCCCCAGGACTCCCACCGGCAAAGCGACAGAAGGATATGGAGGCGCTGGACTCATTACACCTGAATCAACTAGGGGTTATTCCACCGCCGGGGCTGACAGTTACGCCGGTGGGGGTGAATGGGGGTCCTGGAGTGCCGCCCCCAGGAGTCCCAACACCCCCACTGGCTGGAGTTCCCAACCTGGGAGCCCCAAGCACGCCCGGGAGAGCCAAGATCGCCACTGTATCTCGAGTGGGAGGTCGCCCTCGGATCATCTCGTGGATGGATGCCCCTGATGATGTCTATTTCTATGCTACTGACACCACCAAGTAAGATTTTAGGAGCTTGTCTTGTTTGCAAAGGTATTACATATCAGGATGGGGAGATACATTGTAGTTTTTATCACAGTTTCCACAACATATTTTGAGCATTCCTCTCCATATTGACACTAAGTTCATAACCAGACTACCTATGTTTAGTCAGTATTTTTAGCCTCATATTGTTATAAGGATAAGATTGAGAGTCTCAGTTAAAATGCAAATGCTGAAATTTTTTGGCTATTGTAAATTTTCTTAACAAAATATTCCTTCTAATTTTTATTTCCCCCCCCCCTTTCCCAAACAAAAAAAATGTGGTTTGAGAGATATACATCAAATTTCATATCTTATAAAGATCCCATCCCACTTTTGACCTTTGTTCAAGAAATTTGATCATTTTGTTTCAGTGGAAGTGTCTTCATGCCTGTGTGTGGTGAAGGCCGGCCTTCCCCAGTCCTCCACTCTAGGCACCATTGACCAAATTTTATTTTCATAATTGGTGTGGGACATCAAAATTTGTCTCTACTCATTACTTGATATTATGGTTAAAATAGTGAACATCGTGCAACCCCGGCAGCTCAAAATACAGTTCAGGAAATGTGTCATTGATGGTTTAATCTAACAGGAAATGCAATAGGAAATGACCTGATCATTAAAATAAAATGGAATGGCCTGATCATTTTTAAGCAGAAATCAAGTTAAGAAAGTGGAGCCTTGAGTTTAGAGCAAGGATTTGTTTATATTTTGAGGACTAAAGCCAAGATATTTACCTGCTATGGTGAAAGTTTAAGTGATTAAACCTATAATTAATGCAGACCTGTAAGATTACTGTATGCATACAGGAAATTAGCTGATTAACTAGAGTATAGTACAGTATTTCTGCTTAATTCATTTACAAGAGGTGTACAAAAGTAGTGTAGCCGAACACCTTGATTCTTAGTGAGTATTGTTGGCTTCAAAGTGTGAAAGCCAGGTAGCACCCTGTACAGCTCCTGTTCAAGGATAGTCTTCTTTGTTTGGCCCAACTCCTTCAAAAACTAGCAGCACTTTTACCCCAGGCACCAAGTGTCTCTGAGGCAATGGGAAGAAATTTATATTGGTGTTCAAGATCTCTGTGTTTATGACTTGGCTGCTTCCCAGTGATTGGCAGCACCTCCTGCTTGTGTAGCACTGAAGTCAACATAAGTGTTGGCTAAAGTTGAAACGCAAGTGTAGTCCCACCCCAACTGTCTACCATTCTTCCAAGAATTCACCGTGATTATGTCTGAGCGACCGACAGGCTCATCAGAGTTGCGGAACATTAGGTAACGGGGGGCTCTCTCTCTCTGCTGGACAACTGACTGTGGTAAGGCTTCTCTTAACCCTTACACTGCTCAGGGGTCCTGGGGACATTTACACCCCTGTGCGCAAGAAAAAAAAAATCAAAAATATTTTTTTGTCTCCTAACATGTTAATTTGTGTCCCCTGAGCACGGGAAAAAAAAAAATCGTAGGTGACATATTTTGGGCGCAATTGACTAAGGAAGTCTGGCAAAAAGTGGGCGTTGGCAGAGCGGTCGTCAGACCCGGTCAGCGTTACCCTCGCTGACAGATGGGAGTTGCCACAAAGATATTATTACCTAATTGTTTCAATGTCTCCGATTGATTTTTTCTTAGTTTTTTTGCAGTAATATTATTCAACAGTGTGTATTGTAATATATTTATATAATAAAAGTGGTTAATAATCGCTATACTCAAAAGTATGATGTGCATATTAGTGACTCAATTATTATGTTCATAAAACAATAAACAAATAGTTTTTGCTGCTATTACACTCTATACACAGGTTATATATAAGTATCTGCATGTTTTGGTCACCATAACGAACCACTAAGTTGGTATTGAGAGTCGAAAAGCAACGAAGAGTTACCGCCACACACCAGCCAGCCACTCGCTGCCACTCCCTCAACACACGCACTAAACTTTCTCCCCCAACAATACCAGTTGTGGTGTTATTACACTATATACAGACGTTATATATAAGTATGTATATATTTTGTTCACCACAACTGTACAGCTAAGCTGATATAGTTAGTTCAGGCACTAAGAGTCATCGCTATACACAGATGGCGGCTGGCGGCTCCCTCACTCATTCAAGGTCACACGCACTAAACTTTCTCCCCCAACAATACTGTTTGCAGTGTTATTACCCTATATACACACATTATATATAAGTATCTACATGTTTTATGCACCGTAACTGTATGCCTAAGCTTGTAGTGCGCCCAAAGAGCAGAGTGGCCACCCTCTAAACAGCTAGACAAATTGTGCAGACGACGTCACCTCCGTCACCCATATGGCTCCTCCCAGCATAATTCTTTGCCTGTTAATACACTAATGCACACATTATATACAAGTATCTACATTTGTGTTCACCACAGAGAACCACTGAGCTGGTATGGTGAATGGAAACAATAACAGGTGGCCACACAGTCAGTAAACGATGCTGTCTCCCTCCGTCTCTCAGCATCACTCCTCCCACAGCGCTAATTATTACAACAATCCTGCTATTATCACAACCCTGGTTATTTATATCACAGTCATGGGTCATCTGTTATATTGTCATCGCTAAATAATAACAATTATATATTTATTTTGACATTTTTCGGCGATGCTGTGGTCACAAGCTGAACAGCAATGCTGTTCGCTCATGCTGCTTGCGCCAGCCTTGGTTGCTCCAACAGTACTGTGCCTCTCACACCTGAGAATATTGCCCACGATTTTTTTTTTAAATGGCGTCTGTTTACAAGAGCCCTGAGGAAGCTACTGTGAACCCCGTGTAGCTGCGGGCCATTTGAATTGGGCCTGGCACCCTATGGCGTATATATACGCCATGCGCACCATGGGACATGTTACTCAGGGCGTATATATACGCCATGCAGTTTAAGGGTTAATAATGTCATTAACCTCGTCGTGTCTTGCATGCCATCCTCCTGTCCTTTGGCAGAGAAGGCCATGCCATCCGTACCCGTCGGCCACTGCCTTGCCGCAAATACACCTGTATTCGGTGTGGATTGGGGCAGTGAGTCGGAGAGCCACAGCAATTCGGAGGGCCTGCGGTGTGAGATGGGTGCCGGTTGCTGATATTGGAGTTGCTAATAGGAAGGCAACTGCATGGGTAGCTGCTACAGCTACAGTCGGGCAGTGCCATGTGTTGTTGTTGCAGCTTCTAGCAAAGTCACAGCTTCTTGGTCGACAATGGGGTGATCCCCGCTGGATTGCTTATGGGCTTCAGAAGGCGGTGGTTGGGGTGCTGGTCCTGCGAGAGAGACCCATTTGGTTGTGCAGTCTGTGAAGCTGGGATCATGTACCTGTACATGAGCCTGTTGAACTAGGTGCTCAGGTAGGATTTCCTTCACCAAGTTGTCAGACCCCACTGAAGAGGACAGGAATGCTGGTACAGCAATTTGTGTTGCTGTGCGCACGCCATGGCCCCCCGAGTCTGACAGGAAGGGAGGCTTGTTTCCACTGTGAGTCGCTGAGAGAAAGGTTGAGGCCTTTTTCTTGCATTGATTTCAGCAAGCTGTTGTACTCTTCTAATTTAATATATATATACAGTGTGTGTGTGTGTGTGTGTGTGTGTGTGTGTGTGTGTGTGTGTGTGTGTGTGTGTGTGTGTGTGTGTGTATATGTGTGTGTATATGTGTGTGTGTGTGTGTGTGTGTGTATGTACGTACGTACGTATATATATATATATATATATATATATATATATATATATATATATATATATATATATATATATATATATATATATATATATATATAAAATAAATATATAAATAATAAATATGTATGTAAAATAAGACATCATTAAGAGGAGCCTTCCCTCTGCCCAGTGTCCAGTAGAGAGAGAGAGACCCCCAATCTATTGAACCGTAACTCTGTTAGCTTTGCCGGCCGACCAGACGGAATCACACTGTGCCCTTAGAAGGGTGGCAGACAGTTGGCGTGAGACTATACTTGTGTATCCACCCTGGCAACCACACACATCAACCTCTCTTGTCGGCCAAGCAGGAGCCGCGGCGACACGCACAGAGAGAGACAAGTCAAGAAAGTACAAGGAAATAGGCCATCAGGTACAACCTCGTGTGAAATGAAAAATGAAAATATAAAAGCAGAAACCATGTACAAAACGCAGTCAATCATAACATAGAACGAAAAGGCAATGTAAAGGATCTGGGTGTACTCATGTCGGAAGACCTTACCTTTAAAGAACACAATAAAGTAGTCGTCACAACTGCAAGAAATATGACAGGTTGGATAACAAGAACCTTTCACACTAGAGATGCTATACCAATGATGATACAGTACTTTTCAAGACGCTAGAGTTGAATACTCTCCAAACCTTCCCTACTCCCTCTACTATTCTACCTACTCTTCCTACTCCTACCTACTCTACCTACTCCTCCTACTCCCCATTATCCTCTGTCATTTGATGCCATTTGTCTGATCTGGCTCGTGGTCCCAATACTCGCCTTTGTTACTTTGCCTGAACTAAGTCTTCTGTTAGACTGTTCCTTCAGTTTGTCCAGGTCATCTTGTAAGATTTTTACGATGGTATAAAATATGCTAGCAACAGTGACTATGTCCTTTAACATATGTTCATGTATGCTCATTTAAAAGTAACTTGCATTGTTAATAAATTTTGACTCTGTATTGATATTTAATTTTTTTTGGCAGGAAATTACGCAAAAGTTTAACAACAAATGACCTGAAGCGAGCGGCGCGACGACCTTGGAAAAAGATTCAGGAGAAGGAGCTCTCGCCTTCTACTCCCACGCCCACGACTACACCAATTACACACATCACTAGCGATTGATCCGAACAAACCTGCGAGAAAATAATGATCCGCTCCTACCCCCAACCCCCCTGAGCTAATCGGCCGAGCAATAGCACATTCCCTGCCGGAGTGCTCGGGATCGGCCGTGGACGCTCCAAAGTGGCCGGTTGCTACGTCGCATTAGATAGTGACTTGCGTACACAAGCTGAACACTTTAACGAGTGCAGTGTGATGTACCAGTGTGTGTGGGTCGCTGGTTAAGTGTTGCTGTGGAGGAAGTTATTCCAGGGAGGACCCTCCAGCTCTCTCGCTCCCCAGTCTGTGTTAGATTCCAGTACTGTAAAGAGAAACAGTGAGTGGCGTGATCAGATCCTGTGGGGGCCTGATGCCCTAATAGCCAATGTTTGCGCAAATTACAACTGGATACAAAGTAAACTACAAAGTCAAAAGCCATTTTTTAGGCCCATGTCTTGAGTAAATAAAAGTTTTAAGTAATGCGAGGAGTTTGGAGTTTGCTACAATTACCTTTTCCTCCTTCAGTCTTGTGGTACTGCAACATGGAACTTCTAATGCTAGAAGAATCAAAGTTCAAAACCCTCTTATATGTGTTATGAGAGGAATTTTGTGTGAGTGTAAGCTTAAAGGCTGATGCAAGATGATGGATCTGTAGACTAGTTGTGTAGGTTGACTGAGAGGTAGAGGAAGGTGTGAATCCATGAGGAGTACCTGAGGAAAGAGCAACATCCAAGATGATGCTTCGTTGACAAAATGATCTGACTGGGTTATTGAGGTAATAGATGTCGTGGCTGAAGAACACTGTTGAATCGGTATCGGTCTTCAAGGATCTTAGTTGGAAAACACTTAGTGTGATCAAATCAGTAAAATATTAAAGAAAGTTTAATTTTTAACCAAAAGATAATGCTGTGTGCAGAAATTGATTACTGGCCATGTAGGTCACAGATTTCCAAGTACCACCACTCAAAGTTCAAAGTGAAAAACAATAATAACTTTATTCAGCACCTACACTATTTTTTATTCAGACTTTTTTTTTTTTGTACATATGGTTACCGCATGTTCACGAAATTTTCAGTGATTCGTAGTGATATTAGTGATAATTTGTGTACTTTGTATTTTGTCCAATTGAGAACTTTTCTGCACCAGTATCAATTTTTGGACTGGGTATAAAACTTCCAGCAGCGCCGTGTCGTGTTCACTCGACGCCTATTTCAAGGAGAAGGACCCTCGGCAGTGTACGAGTTTTGTGGCGAGAGTTGGTGCCTACTGCCCGTGGGGACGGCCAGAGCCCGCGTCGAGGGTCACTCTCCCTTAAACATTCATCTTTTTCTACTGTAGTCTCTACCAGCACAGATCAGTTGCCTTTCCTCCCATTGTCTTTGTTTTAACAGGTATTTATTATGTTACAGTAATTCATCAGATTTCCAAGTTTTTTTTTCTGAAGAATTTGTAATTGAAGAGGTTTATTGGAGTGAGAAGATTGTAGTGGAAGCTGGTGTTGAAGTATAGATGTGTGGCCTTCCCACCAGTGCATCAAGGTGTGAGAACATGGTCCAAACATCACCTATGAGTGAGAAGATTGTAGTGGAAGCTGGTGTTGAAGTATAGATGTGTGGCCTTCCCACCAGTGCATCAAGGTGTGAGAACATGGTCCAAACATCACCTATGAGTGAGAAGATTGTAGTGGAAGCTGGTGTTGAAGTATAGATGTGTGGCCTTCCCACCAGTGCATCAAGGTGTGAGAACATGGTCAAAACATCACCTATCATTTATTCAACAATTTTTGTTGTTGCATTCATTAATTGATGTGATAACTGTACATTTACATATTTCTGTGTCTTGCCGGGTACACGTCATGCTGCTATATTCTCGGCGCGTTTCTGAAAGAGGACGACTTTTATGTATGAATAAATAATTAATTCTAGTCTATTGATTGCATAATTTAAATTTAGAATAAAAATATGAATCTCCAGCAAATTTATTGAGTATAGGTATTTTTATAATAAATACAAAATGTGGCTAAGTGTATAGCAGCAGTTTACCCAAATGTGTCCTAAATTGTCCTTGTACGGGCAAGTGATGCCAAGGGCCTGATCCTCAAAGCCAGCGGAGGGATTGTCATGGATGGAAATAAATGAGACTCATCACACTTTTGTATGGATATGCTAATTTTTGTTCTGTACTTAGTTCATTCATTCATTCAGCCCTCTACAATACATAGATAGACTTTGTAA